ATGAAGAGGTAAACAGGAAAGAGAAATAAGAGACTTATTAAGGCTGAACTGTTTACATTCCTGCATGGAAAGATGATATTTATAACTCATGAGACCTTTGTCAGTATTAGGGTAGTGGGAGGGGAAAAATTATATGTATGTATGGATAGATAGATAGATAGATAGATAGATAGATAGATAGATAGATAGATAGAGGGCACAGGGTGAGTTGAAGATGAAGGGGTGATATCTGGAGAATAAAATTAAGCGGTGAGAGAGGATTATACTAACAGAAGGAGAAAGGGAGAAGTAGAATGAGGTACATTATCTTGCACGAAACAGACAAGAAAAGGTTCTTACAGTGGAGGAGAAACAGGGAAGGTGAGAGGAAATGAGGGAATCTTATTCTCATAGGATTTGGCTTAAGGAGGGAATAACATACACACTCAATTGGGTATGGAAATCTGTCTTACCCTACAGGAAAATAGGGGAGGAAGGGGACAAGAGAGCAGGGGGATGATAGAGAGAAGGGCAGATTGGGAAAGGGGTAATCAGAAGGAAGTACTTCTGAGGAGGGACAGGGTCAAAAGAAAGAATAGAATAAATGGGGGGCAGGATAGGATTAAGGGAAATAGAGTTAGTTTTTCACAACATGTCTACTATGGAAGTGTTTTGCATAACTGCACATGTATGGCCTGTATTGACTTGCTTGCCTTTTCAATGAGGGTGGGTGGGGTGGGAGGAAGGGAGAAAATTTGGAACCCAAAGTTTTAAAAACACATGTTTAAAAAAAATGTTTCCACATGCAACTGGGAAATAAGAAATACAGGAAATGAGGTACAGAAATCTATCCTGCCCTACAGAAAATAGAAGGGGAAGGGGATAAGAGAAGGTGGGGGAGAGATAGAAGGGAGGGCAGACTAGGGGAAGGGGTATTCAGAATGCATGCCATCTTGGGGTGGGGGAGGGGCAAGATGGGGTGAAAATATGGAATTCAAAATCTTGTGGAGGTAAATGCTGAAAACTAAAAATAAATAAATTTATATGTTAAAAAAAATTTGCTAAATGAATGACATTTATAAGCTGTATTGCATCCAGAAGAGGATAGGAGGGACCTGAAGACTTAGTCCATATGAGAATCAATTAAAGGAACTAGAGACATTTAATAATTGGCCTGAGAGGGGCATACTATCTGCCTTCCAGCGCTGGAAGGGCTACTGTATCAGAGAAGGGTTAGAGTTGCTTGGTTGGGCCTCTCAAGGCACAACTAGAAATAACGTTGTGTGTGGGAGGAGAGAAGTTACAGGGAGGCAGAGTCAGCTAAATAGAAGAAAAAAATTCTTACAACTAGAGATTACCAACCATGGAATGGGCTGACTCAGAAGAATGAGTTTCCCATCACTATGAAGGCTGGATCACCACTTGTGAGGGAAGTTGTAACAAAGTAGGGACTGAACCCACTGAGGTCTCTTCCGGGACTGGAGTTCTTCATGCCAAGGGGCTAGCAGACATGCCATATGTCTATATTTGTGTCTCTGCCTTGTACGCTTGGGTTGTCCTGTTGATCTCTGCATTGGGCCATCTCCATAGGCAGGGCCCAAACACTCTGTGAAAAGATGATGACTCATTCTGTTCTCAAGAGCTCACCCTAACCAGCAAGACTTGACATCTCCCTCACCTGATCTCAATAGGATTTTTTGTTTGTCTGTTTGTTTGTTTTTTTGGTGGGCAATGGGGTTAAGTGACTTGCCTAGGGTCACACAGCCAGTAAGTGTCAAGTGTCTGAGGCCACATTTGAACTCAGGTCCTCCTAACTCCAGGGCCAGTGCTCTATCCACTGCACCACCTGACTGCCCCTCAATAGCATTTCAAACTCTCATGCACATGTCATATTCTGATTGGTATCGCACTCATCTGTATCCATGTTTGATTTCCCCCTTATGGGTGGGGGGGGAGTCCTGGAGCTGTCTTTTAAGTTTTTACTAGGAGCACTGAAACCTTGGAAATTAGCAAATGCTACAAATCAGGGCTTGATTTAGTGCTTGTTTGCTCATCTAGACTTAAGAAAGTGAAGGAGAAAACATGAAGAATGCACATTAAAATTAAAAGTATGTGGTACATTTTTAGAGAGCTAGATGCTAAACATTTACCAGCAGACACTGTCCTTATTAAATAGTATCATGTAGCGGTTTGTGGTAGGGGTATTAGTGGAGATAGTGGTAGTAGAAATAATAGCAACAACAATAATGATAGCTAGCATTTATACAGCACTTTAAGGTTTGTCAAACACATTACAAATACTATCTCATTTGATCTCACAACAACCCTGGGAGATAGGTGCTATTATTATCCCCATTCCACAAATGAAGACACTTAGGCTTACAAAGATGAAGTGACTTGCCAACAGTCACCTAGCTAATAAGTATCCAAGGCGGCGTTCGAACTCAAGTCTTCCTGGCTCTAAATCCAGTGCCATATCTGCATTCCCTGTTGCCTATCTCAGAAAGAGAACTGAAGTGGACATCAGAGAACCTAAGCTTGGACCATAGCCTTATGAGAACTTTAGCCATGTGACCCTAGGTAAGTCACTGGGTCTCATCTGTAAAATCAGGAGTCCCTTCTAGTCTTGAGGACAGGAAACTGGACTTCCTGCACTGACAATTAGAAAACCAAAGGCACTTAAAAATTTTGTTAAATGAACACATTCTATAGGATGACTGATCATTCTAACTCACTGTCGTTCAGATGTGAATCATCATACCTGCTCTCCCTGCCTCTAGCTGGGTATTATTCAGAGCTGACAAAACAATCTTCCTAAACCCCCCTGTTCTAATCATATCACTCTACTATAAAAATAAAAAAAATTTTAAAAAAACAACTAAAGGGAACTTTCAGTGGCTCCCTATTACCTCCAGAACTAAAGAAAAACTTCTCGAGCTATTCAAGGTCCTCTACAATCTGACCCAAGTAGCCTACTCACCACTCCTTTAATTCATTCTGCCTTTCCCAGCCTCTACATATTTGCTTATATCGCCCTTTCCCAGTTGGCTAGAATGCGCTCCTTTCAAAATCATATTCTTGGGGCAGCTAGGTGGCGCAGTGGATAGAGCACTAGCCCTGGAGTCAGGAGGACCTGAGTTCAAATGCGGCCTCAGACACATAACACTGACTAGCTGTTGTGTGGCCCTAGGCACGTCACTTAACCCCCATGGCCCAACCAAAAAGCAAAAACAACAACATCAAAATCATATTCTTCCTTCAAGGCCCAGCTCAAACACCACTGCCTCATGCTGAAAACGAGCTCTTCCTTCTCAAAATTTCTTAGAGCACTTTGCTTGGATCTCACCAGTGCCTCTATTCTTTTCTCTGTATCATAGTTATTTGTATACCACTCACAGCCTTTCCCCCACAAGATTATAAACTCCCCCAGGGCAGGGAATGTGAGATTTTTTTCCCATCTTTGTATTCCCTACACATAATAGGTAATTAATAAATGTTCACTGTTTTGAACAGAACTGAATTGATGCCCAGGTCTCAACCACCAGCAGCAACACACCGAGCTTCACCCATTCCCCAGGCAGATTGAGCTAGGCTGGGCAGGCCAGTACCTTGGCATGACTCATTGTGAAAAACACAAACACAGACTCCCAACCCCAAACTAGGATGAACTGCCAAGGTAAAACATAATGGGAAAGCATGGCTGTGTGAATATTGTGCAACTCTAACCCAGGCCAAAGTCAGGAACCGAAGAAATTAGGTTAAAAAAGATTGTCTGTCTGAGAATTAAGTGACCTGGGTTCTAATCTCATTTCTGCCACTACTTCTGTGTGACGTTAGGCAAGTGTCCATCCCTCTCTGGACCTCAGTTCCTTCATCTACAAATGAAGGGGCCAGACTCCACTAAATGGTTTTTAAGGCCTTTTCTATTTCAATATTCAACATTCTATGTTCTAAACATCCTTTCCATCTCCAACATTCTGTGTTCTTTCTTCTAAGGTTCATTAGAACCTTAAAAGTTTAAGTTGTAAGATCTAAATTTCCTTCTAGCTCTGACATTCTTTGTTTTATATCTTAAGGGCTCTCCCATTTCTGATATCCTATACATATTCTCTCTTTTTCTGTATATATATATACATACATATATATATACACACATCTATATATGTTTATATGTATATACATCTATATACATATATACACACACATCTCCTACATATATCTCCTATATATTCTATACAAATCCTATATACTATATGTATGTATATAATATATATACTATATATTCTAAAGTTCCCTCCAGCTTTAACATTCCATTATCTTTGTTCCAAGGTCTCTTTGAGCTGACATTTTAGGATAGCTGTACTAACTTTCTGACCTCCTCCCTTGTCTATAAAATGAGGGAGTTAAGCTGGATTGTCTCTAAAGCAACTTAGAAGGATGGTCCATTCTAGAACCCATTTTCAATGAGCTTCATAATCCAATGCAGGTCCATTAGCTTTCCCAATTCAAATTTGTGCTTCTTGAGCATCCTGACTTCATTATCTAATAGAAATCATGTAATAAGCTAATTATTCATTCTCTCTCTTGCCCCAGTCTCTGACCCAATTCCCTCCAGAAAATGTATCTGTGCTTTATTCTGCACAGACAGCCATGGTTACCCCAATTGTCAGTATGTAACTGCCCCTTTTGACAGCAGCTAAAAGACTGAGAATTAGAATCAGCAGGCACCAAAAACACAAAATCTCAGACCAGGAAGGGACCTCAGAGATTCCACCCCAAACCAACACTACATCAGAAATGCCACCAATAATATACTAGACAAATGGGTATGCTTGAAGCCCTCCAAGCGATAAGGAAATCACTACCTTCCGAAGCATCTCACCCCACTCTTTTAAACATGGGAACCCACAGATCAGCACTCTCAGGGGGTCAGCTGACACAAGAGGCGTCTGAAGGTTGGGGTATCGATGAAAGGCCCATTCCAGTCAAGGAAATCAGCCTTTCCGTCAAGTCACACTTACCTGAAGCATCAGTTCACAGTCATCCCGGCCAACAAATATCATTTCTCTTGGCAGCCGGTGGCGGGTGCCACTGCTGCTCACCAGAAACCATGATGTCACACTCATCTTGTTAGCTGTCACTTCCACTTTGAGCTTCCTGAAAAAAAGGGGGGGAGGAGATATTGGACCTTAAGACCTAGGTTCAAATCCTGGTTTTTTCACTTACTACTTGTGAAAGCATGAGAAAAATCACTTAACCTGAGTGTCAGTTTCCTCATCTACAAAATGAGACTAGCCTAAATTAGTGGTGTCAAACTCAAATAAAAATGGATCCCTGCAGACTTTATACTGAATTAGAAAGCCACAGATTAACATTAGCTATGTTGTATTATGGGCAGCTAGGTAGCAAAGTGGATAGAGTACTGGGCCTGAAGTCAGAAAGACTCATTTTCATGAGTTTAAATTTGACACTTACTAGCTGTGTGATGCTGGACAAGTCACTTAACCTTGTCTGCCTCAGTTTCCTCATCTGGAGATGGACAAGGAAATGGCAAACCACTCCAGTAAGCCAAGAAAATCCCAAATGGGGACACAAAGAGTCAGACATGTCTGCAATGACTGAACAATGATAACAACATGGGGTATGGTATTTGTTTTAAATTCTCAATTACAACTTAATCTGGTTCCCAACGGCTGTGGCATTTTTCAGTCCTGGAGGGCGCTAGTGTGACACCTCTGGCCTAAATGATCTCTAAGGCCCCCTCCAATTCAAAACCTTATAATTCATTCATTCAACAAATATTTATTGAGCACCTGCTGCATATAAAACCCTATCCTCCTTCTTCAAAGTGATATAATGCTTAAATAAGGCAAGCTCCCTTCCCTCACAGAGCTCACCGTCCAGTAGGGACATAAAGCACAAATCCTGATCACTATAATAAACAATCTCACATGACAAGTAGGGATCTTATGTGATTCCTATAACCCAGGATGGCTTCCTGCCAGGGAGGGAGCAGGGGCAGCATAGGGACAGAAATGAGTAAGGCTTCTGCTCATAGCTAGATTTATACCTTGAGGCCAGCAGGGAAGATGAGAACCAGCAATTCTTAGCTTAATTGTTATACAAAAACAAATGGTAGGACATGGCCTATTGGTTTACTTACTAACCCCTGTGCTGGATGGCTTCTAAAGCCCCTTCAGCTCTAAATCCTATCTATGATCTAGAAAGAAGCCTTCCACTCCTTAATACACCTTATTCTCTAGTAGCACCAAATATATATATATATATATATATATATATATATATATATATATATATATGTATGTAAATCTTTGATCAAGACAAACTCATGTAGAACCACTGCCCAGGGCTTACCTACTCTCTCAGGGACTGCCTGTCCCCAAATGAGGCCATAGAGTGGAAGCCAAGGACCCTCAGACATGTTTCACCCTGTTCTCTACTCTGCTATGAAAGAAGAAGAGCTCTCGGAGAGCTCATAATTTAGGGAGGCAGGGAAGGAGAGGGAGAAGCATGAGACTGAAATTCTGCCCTTGGGGAATGTGGTCCCAGTGTGAGTAAGGATCCAGGTTTCACCCTCAGGAAACACCCTAGTCAATGGACAATTCATGATGAGAGGAGGGGAGGAGGTATGCCCTGTAACTGAATAGAGGGTTAGAGGAAAGATCACTGAGGTTGGGGATAAGCAGGGGAAGATTCTGAAAGGAAATGAGACTTGAGCTATTTCTTGAATGAAGTTCAGCATTTGGAAGCAGAGAAAACCACATTCCAGCTCAATGTATGCCTTAGATGACAGTAGAAGAGTCTCCCTAATTTTGAAGATTGTAAAGAGACCAAGACAATCTTAATTCAGTAATAAGATCATAGAGGGGATTTAGAGCTGGAAGAGGCCTTAGAAATTAACTAATCATAAAATCCTAGGATTTAGAGCTGGATGGGACTTTAGAAGCCATCTAGAACAGGGGTTAGTAAGCTACAACCAATAGGCCACATCCTACCATTTGGTTTTGTATAGCACTTAACCTGAGAATGTTTTTTACATTTTTAAATAAAGTTTCTTTGGGCTGTAGTTTGCTGAACTCCTGATCTAAACCTGCTTCCTATTTTTACAGATGAGGAAACAGAGGTCCAGAATGGTCCAACATGTTCCACTGTTTCTCGCTTCCCCCTTTTAGTATGTAGGTAAACTGAGGCCCAACAAGGGGAATGACTGCCCCAGGTCATACAGAAAATGGCAGAGAGAGATTCAAGCCTAGAGTTTTTCTCCTACTCTGCTCGTAGATCATCACTAGCTTTGACTCCAGGTCCAATCGGTACGCAACACACCATGCTGGGTTATGGGTCATGTTTCTTCCCTTGCCTCTCTCACATTTAGGCATATTAGAAATTGATTCAGCAAGATAGAGGATATATGGTGATGTAAGAAACAGAAAATATCAATAAAATCTCATTTTAAAAAAGAGAGTGATTCAGTAGGAAAAGAGTTGTCTTAAAACCGTGGTTAAAGCCAAATACTACCTCTACACTAGCCTCAGGCCTCTTTCTTCCTTTTGGCCAAAGGAAGCATATAGTTCTCTCTAATTCTGCTCTGCTGTGTGGGGAAGGGGCATGCTCCTCCCTGAGGACCCCTGGGCCTGGTCCCACCTTGTTCTCCCCTCCACACACCCTGGGTAAGCGCCTCAAGCCTCAGAGGCACCCAGCATCAAGAGCCAGCCAAGGGCCGGAGTAACACTAGCTCCTGCTACAGAACATCAGCTGATAAGCATGGTCAAGCCTGTTGTCCAGGAAGGGGGGTGGGTTGGAGGTTATCAAGAATACAGCTTCACTGAATACAGGCCCTCCTATTTAACGTGAGCGGTTCTGTACTGATACCGTCTGACAATTCACTCCAGGAAAAGCCAAGGGAGGCACGGTAGCAAGCACTGAAGTCATCACAACAGCTTTGTGATGCCTGCCAATTCAGCTGCCTGATCATTTGGGGACCAGGAAAATTCCCAGCCCACCCCAAGCTTCCTAGGGGCCAAGATGCTGGTCCAGAATGCAATGCCGCTCTTCTACCACTAGGACAATGAGTCTGGCCTAAATTAACAAGCCTCCTCCCTGGCTCCAGTCCAACCAGGACCCACAGATGACTTGACTATATCGTGAGAGTAGCTGACATTTCTACAATGCTTTATGGTTCATAAAGGAGATAGAGTAAGGATTGGACTCATTTCATTGGCCTTGGTGAGGAAACTCCCTCTATCCTGCAGGCCAGCACCACCTTTTCAGCTTATAATCTTAGATAGTATCCTAGGTGACTTGTCCAGAGCCATATAGCCACTATGCGTCAGAAATGGGACTTGGCTCTACAGCCAGCTTAAACAAAAACAAGACAGTCCATCTCTCAGCTCCCTGCATTTTCTCTAGCTGTCCCCCCATGCCTGGAATGCTCTCCCTCCTTATCTCTGTCTCCTAGCGCCCCAGACTTCCTTCACCTCTAATAGTACTTCCTTGCTCCAAGGCTCATCTCAGGTTCCACCTCCTCCAGGAAGCTTTCTCTGATATTCATGGGTGTTAATGTTTCTCCACCCTCAAATCACCTTCTCTGTCCACATGTCACATCCCCTAACAGAATATAAGCTCTCTGAGGGCAGTTCTCTTTTTCTCTTTTTCAGTCCCAGCTAAAATCCCACCTCCTTCAAGAAGCTTTTCCTGATCCCTCTTAATTCTAGTGCCTTCCTTCTGTAATTTGTTTCTATTCAACCTTGATATAGCTTGTTTGTACATATCTATTAGCTGTGAGCTCCTTGAGAGAAGGGACCTTCTTTTGTTTCTTTCTGTATCCCTAGTACTTAACACAATGCCTGGCACACAGTGGGTGCTTCATAAATGCTCACAGACTGACTGACTCAATATTTGCTACTGCATGAGGCCTCTCTGTGAAGCTGGATTCTTTGTGATTTACAAAGCATTACAGAAATGCCAAGATCATGCTACATGGGAAAATATACCATGTGACACGCTTGGTAAATCTAAGCATGTTAGCTTAAAGGCTAGACTTACAAAGTTATTTGAAATTTCAGGGTCTGGTCAGAGGGCCACTCAGAGCAGGCCTTAATCAGACCAGGGGATCCCAGGGAAAGCCCAGGTTTCTCCATTCCCTCTAGGTTTCCTCTTCTATCACAATGTGTCTCCAGGCTACCTTTCCAGTACTCTTACACATTCCACCCCTCCACATACTCCATGTTCCAGTCAAACTGGCTAATTTGCTGTTCTCTGAGCCAGCTGTGGCACAGGCAGTCCCCAGGGTTCACTTCTACCTTTTATAATCTCTGACTTCTTTCAAGGCTCAATTTATGTTCTATCCCCTATAGGAACGGGCAGCCAGGGGGCAGAAGTGGATAGCGGGCCAGGCCTGGAATCAGGGAAACCTGAGTTCAAATCCAGCCTCAGACACTTCCCAGCAGTGTGACCCTGGGCAAGTCACTTAACCCTGTTTGCCTCAGTTTCCTCACCTGTAAAATGAGCTAAAGAAGGAAATAGTAAACCACTCCAGTACTTTTGCCAAGAAAACCCCAAATGAGGTCACAAAGAGACAGACACAACTGAAAAATGAGTGAACAACAACTGAACTCATAGGAAGTCTTCAGTTGTTAGCACTATTGCCTCAAATCATGTATATGCTTTGCACCTTAGGCATCTCACTCCAGAATGTAATCTCCTGGAGAGCAGGCAAGACTTTTATTTTTATCTTGGTATACCCAGTATCTAGCACACATTTAGGTGCTGAACAAATACTTAGATTTTATTATACTGCTCAACACAGATCTATTCACATGGTGTTGTGAAGGCCAGTGAAGCATAGCACCTCAGAATGGCCAAGCTTTCAGAAGACAGCTAATCTAACTCATTCCCCGAGCAGGAATCTCTTCTCCATTCCACAAAGCCATCCAGAATCTTCCTCAAAGACTTCAAACAGAGAAGAAGCCACTGCTTCATGAGGCAATACTTCTACTCGTGTATGGTGCTAATGGTTAGGAAGTTTATTCCTTGTTATTCTACCTCCCTGTAACTTAGTGTCCTAATTTTAGTGCTAAAGGTACTTCAGACACCATGCAGTCCAAACCTTCCACTGTTCACATGAGGAAACTGAAGTTAAGGAATTTGCACACAAATAGCCAGTGCCAGAAAGAGGATTTTTCCAGATGGCCCCAATTCTGTCCTCTGGGCATTTGGCAACTAGGGAAAATGTATATATTTGATTCTGTGGACCTCCCTCCTTCATCCTCTTCACATACCCATTCCAAAGGCCTTTACTCTCAGGTAGCTGCCAACCAATCCCCTAAAATACATTTCCAATAAGATTTTTAAAGCCAGATGTATTCCTCTGGGAGCATTCTATTCCATTTAATTCTACCAGTAAGCTGTGGAGGAAAAAAAAAATCTTGACCTGATAACAATTTGCTTTGTGACCTTGGACAAGTCGCTTCTCTCTGGGCCTGAAGACTGTATCTGTCAAATGAAAGTACTGGAAGAGATGATCCCTAAGGTCCCTTCCAGTTCTGCTCTGGATTCTGCCTTTCATTCAGGACTTTCCTTCCTTTTTAACCTTCACACTGAGAATCCTGGAGTCCTAGAACGAAAAGGAACAGGAATGTGTCTAAGCCAAGAGCCCTCCCTAAGCAGGAGGCTCTTCCCAAGCACTACTGCTCCTCTCATCTACATCAAACCTGGTTAAAAAAAAATTCAGCCAATAGAGAATAAAGGAGAACTAGGATCAGTCTGACAAATTATTGAAAAATATCAGTTTAAAACAAAGAAGAACTTCCTAACAATCCTCACAAAAACAGAAAGGGCTGCCTTATAAGGTAGTGAGCATCCTGTTCCTGGAAGTATTCAAACAAAAGCCAGATAATAATTATACTAATTTACATTCCTGTAGAACTTCTCAAACTTTAAAACATGTTCCTCACAAAAACCCAATGAGGTAAGTAGTCTGAGTATTATTATCCCCATTTTATAGCTAAGGACACTGAAGTTGAGAAAAATAAAGTGACTTGCCCAAGACGATAAAGCTAATGCCAAACTCCTAAGATGACAGGGATGCCATAGAGGGAAGGTATAAAGGAGTACTCCCCATCCCAACACACACACACTCCTCACCCAAAGCATGAAGCTACTTCTTACTACCAAGCAGGCAATCTTGTCCTGTCCAGTCCCATCCCACCCACTTATGGTTTCAGACCTTTATTGGCATTGGCTAGTAGAAGGAAAAATAATCCACAGAGATTCCCTCAGAGAAAACTGAGCCTCCACTGGAAGAAACTACAGAAGCCCTAAATTCAAGGATTGAGAGAGGCAAGCAGACTGGCAAGGAAAGGTTGGGGTGGGAGGGGGGGGAGAGAGAGGACATAGCAATAAAGGGGAAGGGAGACAGAAGAAGGGGAAAGACAGAGAGATAAAAGGGAAGGGGAGAAAGAGACAACAGAGAGAAGAGAGACAGAGACAGCAGGGAGGAGAGAGACAGAGAGAGAGAGTGAGGTGAAGAGTCAGAGAAACATAAGGGTGGGGAGCAGAGACACAAGGGCACGGAGGAGAGACAGGAACAGAAGTGAGGAAGACAGAGACAAGGGCTGGAGAAGAGACAGAGCAAGGGACACAAGGGCTGGAAAAGAGACAGGTAGATAAAGGATGAGGTAGACAGAGGAGAGACAGAAAGAGGATAGAGAAAAAAGGGAAAAGAAAAAGCAGAGAGGTCATGAAAGGAAAATAAGAGGGACATGGAAAGAGGAAGGGAGGGAGGAAAGAACAAGGGAGGAGAACAGGAACGGGAATGAGGAGGCAGGGAGAATAGAAGGGAAGAGAACAGGGACATGGAAAGAGGGAGGCAGGGAGGAAAGAAGGGAGGAGAACAGGGAAAGGGAAAGGGGGAGGCAGGGAAAAAGAAGGGAAGAGCATATGGACATAGAAAGGAGGAGGCAGAGAGGAAAGAAGAACGGAGGAGAACAGGAACGGGGAAGGAGGAAAAAAAAGGAAGAGGCAGGGACAGGGAAGGAGGGAGGAGGGGAGGAAAAGAGGCCTTATCCTGAATCAGCGCTCACCCCTCTCGCAGCAATGGCTGCGGCCTTAGGAGCCATCTCCGCCCCGCAGAGATTCAGAGGAGACAGCCAGAGACACTCACACCTCCAACCATCAACCCCAGTCCCTCTTCCCAATCCTCGGGGTCATTGCCCCCCCCGCCAAGTCCGAAAGTGGGACAGTGGGACAGTGCGACAGGATGACAGACACTCCCCTCCCCCAGCCCCGCCGCGCCCGCGCTGCGCTGACAGTCCAGGCGGAGGGTGGGGTGGAGGGGTCTGGCCCGGGCCCGCACCTGGGGACACCAGGGGCGCGCGCCTTTGTCTGGCTGGGGAGAGGGAGGAGCGCGCGCCCAGGTGGGCCGGGGCCCCCCCGGACTGAGCGGGCTTCCCTAGCCCAGGTTCTCTCCCGTGCCCACGCAGGTGAGGGGCGGGGCGGGCCGAGGCCGGCAGCTGGAGGAGGAGAACCGGAGGCGGGAGGGTGGGGGGCCTCACTCACCTGCTCCGGCCTCGGGGCCCCAGTCCAGGGCCCGGGCTCCTGCCAGCAGCTCCGCCGCCGCAGCCGCCACCTCCTCCTCCCTGTCCTCCAGAAGCGGGGCTGGCGGGAGCCCGGGACGCGGCGGCCGCGCAGCCCGGGCCCTGCCCGGCCCGTCCCGCCCGGCTTGGCGCGGCGCGGAGGCGCGGCTCGGCGGCTAGGACATGGTCCCGGCTGAGCCGGGCCGGCTCGCCAGCCCGCCCCGGCCCCGGCCCCGGCCCCGGCTCAACCTCAGCGGCCAGGGGAGCAGCAGCAGCAGCAGCAGCAGCAGCAGCAGCGCCGCTGGCGGCCCTCGCCAAGCAGGTTACTGACGTCTGCGGGAGGCTCCAGCCCAGCCCGCCCCTCCCTCTGTCTGCGGCCCGGCCCCCTCCAGGCTCCCTCTCCAGCCCCTCCTTCCCTCCCTCCCTCTCTCCTCCCCCGCCTCTTCTAGAGCAGGAAATCCAGGTTAGGGCCGAGGGAGCTGGGAACCAGGTGTGCACTGCGCGCCCAGGGGGATGGGAACGGGGATAAGGCGAAAAACGAGGGTGAGGATAAGAATGGGGAAGGTCTTGGCTCAGACTCAGGGCCGTGAGATGAAGCCCGGCGCTGCCCCCTCTTTCCATCCCGCAGTCTGCAGCCCAGACCCACCTCAAGCGCACAAATCCAGAGTGCAGAGTGTTAAAGGAATACGGTTAGGGACCCAGGGCCTGTTGCAGAAGGGAAACGAGCTCTAATGACACCCCACTCCCTCCACGGCCCAGCCCCCTTTCCAAGAAGGAGGCGCTGCGCTAACTCCGGGAGCCCTAGGAAGTCCCAAAGGGAACGAGATGGAACGAAGAGAGTCTGGGTGTCCGGTCGCCCCATCCTTGTGCGTCCTGCCCCACCTTCTCCCGGGAGAGGGCACTGCGCTCTCTCTGTGGACCCGGGCCGACGTTCACACAGGGTTCCCTATTTAATAGGGCTCAGGGTGACACTGGCTTGTCCAAGGAAAGCAAGTTAAAGCGTAACCAGGCCCTCCACCCCATACTTCAGCCCCAGCTTTGACCCAAGGCCTGGCAGGGTGCCAGCTGTGTTCTGCTCAATGCAGAGGGTATCCAGAGGCATTTGGCCCTTTCCTTCTCCACCCTTCCAGTCTCCTAATGGAGGAGGACAAAAAACATATGAGGCAGAGCCTGTGTGGTGGAGTGGAAGACTTTGTTTTGAACCCCGGCTCTGCTGCTCTATGTGACCTTGGACAAGTCTCCTCACTTCTCAGAGGCTCTAGTTTCACAGTTTTCACATCTATAAAATGAGGGGTTTAGACTAGATCATCTCTAAGGGACCCTGCCAGCTCTGACGTTGGAGGATTCTGTGGGGCCTGCCCTCTGACTGGTTATTATTAACTCTATTTGCTCTCTGGCCTCTGCTCAAAGTAGGTCTGTAACTGGCTGCAAACCTAGCCATTTCTTAAGGGCTGGTGGCAGAATGCTTTGGCAGAGGCCAAAGCTCCTCCCCTCCTTCTTCATTTCTAATCCTGCTAGGACCCAGAAGGGCCTAACACACCCATTATGGCACCTCCCAAACAGCTCTCCTGACTAGGCCTGGCTTCCAAAGACAGTAGAGGCTTTCCCACATAGATGTTCGCGGAGGTCCTGGAGTGATTGGTTAGAAAAGGATGATCCATCATCCATCAGTATTTACACTGAGCCCCTGCAGTGACTTGGGCGCTAGGCTAGTAGGCAGGCCCTTGTGAAAGCCCTGGAGGAAAACAAGATGAGTGTAAAATACAGGCTCAAAAGACACTGATACATCTGACTCACAGGAAACTGAGAATAGTCAGACTAAATGGAGTCAGAGCTAGACTGTGTAATTCAGATTCTTAAGTGCCAGAGGAGTAGTCACAGAGGACTTCAAGGAGGAGGTGGCGGGACAAGTTATGACACATTTCCCTTTCTTGACAGGCCTAAACTGACTGATCTGGTGTTATTATGAGCAATCCTGAATCAAGACTGAAGTGGGAGAAGAGAAAAGTGCCATAGTCGGAGAAAACAACCACAAAGCAGATAGTATACTTTTACCAAACAATGAATTCCTAACAGGTGCTCTTGGGCTTAAATTTGAAATCTGAAATAAAGCACTGAGACATGGCTGTATAATGGAAAGATTCTTAGAGTCACTGTTAGAATTATAGAATTTGAAGCTGGAGGGGACTTTAGAAATCATCTAGAATAAACCCCTCATTTTACAAATGAGGAAATTGAGGTCCAGAGAGAAATGATTTGCCAAAGATCACACAGTGAATTAATTATTCAGAGGCATAAACTCGAAATTCTGTGTTTTGTTTTGTTTTGTTTTCAAAGTCCTGGCTCTGGAACATATTGGCTCTGTTAAGACCGCTGGTTCCCTGGGCCTCTCTTTTTTTTTTTTAACCTGTAAAAAAGAGGTGTTGGGAAGGGGAGAACTTGGATTAGATGCCTTGTAAGGCCTCTTCCAGCTCTAAACTATGATCATAATCCTATCACTTAAACTCTCTCAGGTTTAGCTGCCTCATCTGTAAAAAGGGGTTAAAAATATTTTCTGTTTATCTCAGAGGGTTCTGGTGAGAAAAACACTTTGGAAAATTTGGGATGCTATAGAAAGGTGAATTATCACCATTATCTTCCTCATTATTATTATAACCTAAACCTCCTTTGCTCTAGCCGGTCAGTTGAACACTAGACATCACAGTTATTGTTGATTTTCTATCAAGTAAGCAATTTTTTATTTTTCCTTACTGTCTTCTGAGGTAGGCCAGTCAGTATAAAAACACACATACACATACACATACATATAAATATGCAGTTTTATCTACTTAAAACTTCAAATACCAAAGTGATAAATATATATAACATATACATATATGTGGTTAGAGCAAGGCAATTGAGGTAAAGTTAGAGCTTCAAGTTAATGTTCCAGATATTAAAATGTAAAAGTGATGGACTTCAAATGAGGAATGGGACATTCTTTTTTTCCACACATGGCCAATGTGGGAATTTTTGTGCAAAAGTTTTGGGTTTTTTTTTCCAATGGGGAAAGGTGGGAGGGAGATAAAATAATTGCTTGTGAATTTGGAGGAAATTTTTAAAAAAGAAAAGAAAAATATAATAAAAATGGATAAGAAGTTTAATGCTAGAAGAAATTTTGCCTAATAGGGTTGAATTACAGAATGTGTAGAGCTGTAGGGGCCTTGCAGATTATCTAATCCAAGCTCCTCCCTCATTCTGAAGATGAGAAATAGATTCACAAGAATGAAGAAATTTTCCTAAGCTAATCATATAACTAGTTGGGGGCAGACCCAGGATGAAAATCCAAGTCTACTGGCTTGGAGTCTAGAGGTCTTTCCACCACATCACAGTGTCTAGGAGCCCTGACACTCAAGGTTCCTAGTCTATACTTATAGTTTCTACCAGGTCCTAGTATAGGATCTTACACATAGGCTCCTCATTCCTAGAATATAAATCCTCCTCATCTCTCAACCTTTAAGGATCCCTAATTTCCTTCAAAACTCATCTTTGACTTCCCCTAAAAAAATATTATCATCAGTTGTCTACTCTGATAGAATATGTGCCTAAAGGGCAGGGACCATTTTTACTTTGGTGTTTGTATCCCCAGCTTCTGACACATTATAAGTGCATTATAAATGCTTATTAATCAATTGATAGATGTTTGTTGAATTTGCTCCTGAACTTTATAGTCTGGCCAGCAAAAATGGTGAGCAGATGCAGAGGGCCTGGGTGCCTTTGATTTCTGTCCAAATAGTCTATTGGAGTTTTCTGTCCTTGGCTAGAATTCAAGACCTGGCCTTCTTCCATAAATGATATCAGTGCAGGAACAGGGACTGGGACTAAAACTAGGGAACAAGTTCTGAACCTTCTAGTTTTCTCTGCTCTATGACTTATCAGTTCCTTCCACATTCCCAAACCAGCCGTTTCAGTGCTGGCATCCCCAGAAAGAGAATGTCACCTAAAAGTAGCAGCAACTCTGACCAAGCGAGGTCAGGGTGCCTGACCATAGCCATCGTAAATCTGGAGTTAGAAAGGAACCTCAAAAGCTATCCATCTAGTCCATTTCTTCCCCCACATCCCGTTTTGCAGATGAGGAAAATGCAGCCCAGAAAAGTTAAGTGATTTGGTTAAGGCCACCCAGGTGATACGTCAGAGGCAGGATTGGCACCCTAGTCCTCCATCATGCTGTGGCTACTGGGGAAAGGAAAGAGTAATTTATTGCTCTACCTCCCTCCTCCACCCAGGTGTGCAGTCACCAGGAGCATCTGAAAAATCAATCTATGGGAAAGTAAACACTAAAATTATACATGTAAGTATGTTTTTATTTTGTAAGAAGAGCCTAGGTCTGGGGAAGCTAGGTGGTGTACAGGCTCTACCCACTACAGAGTCAGGAGGACATGAGCTCAAATAGGGCCTTGGACACTTATTAGCTGTGTGATCCTGGGCAAGTCACTTAACCCCGACTGCTTAAAAAAAAAAAAAGAGCCTGGGTCCCTGTCCTTGACTTGGTTGGATTTGTTTTGCTAGCTGAAGTATAGCTTTCATTTCTATAGCACAGTAAGGTTCACAAAACAAACCTTCCCATCCAACAAGCCTGTGTGCTAGGTAGTATTTTAGAGAAAAAGAAACTGAGTCTCAGAGAGATGAAGTCACTTGCCCACATCACAGAGATTGTCAGTGTTGCAGACGGGATAAGAAAGCAGGGCACTTGGCCTCATTTCCAAGGCTCTTTATATTGCATCATGAGGCCCATGATACATCATTCACCCAGGATCACAGGGTTTAGAGCTGGAAGGGGCCTTAGACATTATCTCTTTTACAGATGAGGAAAAAAGCCCAGATGAGCAAGTGACTTACCTAAGGTCACACAAGTGAAGAGAAGCAGAGCTGAGACTTGAACCCAGTTTCTCTGAGCAGATCACTAAGGTCCCTTCTAATCCTTGATAGAGGATCTCTACAACTCCAAATTCTTACCACAACACCATGGCTACCTCATTTTCAGGGGGAGGGAATAGGGCAATCTATTGAACATTGGGGGGTTATCCTTGCTTGGAGAAGATAGTCTGCCCAGACCCATCTGTGCTTTGAGATCTTTATTTATCCCAGATGAGGCATTGTTCCAAGATCTGACTAGCATCTTAAAAGGGCCTCTGGGAAGGAGAGGCTTCATTCCCAGGGATAGGGCAGAGGGAGCAGCCACATCAAAGGCCTGGG